TTTTAGAGGTTAAATCACAGTAAAGTTATGTAATTTTCTGTACTTACCAGACTGTGAGCTGTTGTATTATTTGCCTTAAATATTAGCCTTTTTATCAAAAATGTAATGGTGTAAATATTTTTAAAATCACAAATGGTCAGCCCTACATACCAGTATCAATATTGGGATATTTGATTTTCTCCACATCACTCAGACCTAATATATGCTGTATTTTTAAGGAGGTTACAGGGACAGTTGTGTTGTGTGCTTTTTCCTTTGATGAATGCTAGCTAGGCTACAAACTGACTTTATTTCTGAGGTGAAACAAAAGTTCTACTTTTATATTTCAATCACTAGTTAGCAGCTATGATCTAATCATTATTGGTAGATTGTGGACCTCTGTGCATGCACGAAAAAAATTATATTGTACCCGCCTAACATAATTATCTTTCTGTATAACTGGCCTTAGTAATTATCTATTCAAGAAGTCTTAGCCACTGTTCAATGCAACTGGTAGTTCCAGTTCATGTAAGTCGTCTATGAATAGGAATAATCATGAATCACTAGGCCAAGTGAAGTGATTCCCTGTCACAGGGGATTTTGACTCTTTGTTCATGGAGAGTGATTGAATGGAGTCTGAATAGAGTTTGAGGTGAGTCACGGGGTCGGGCACTAACTTAAATTCACCTCATTGCAGACGAACCAGACTGAAAACGCTGCCGGCTGCTTAGCTGTTGGTGAAAACAAGTCTGACACACACTTTCTCCGCACAAACACAAAAACAAACACACTGGCGGGCCTGTCTCGCTCTCTTTTGCTCGCTGGCTCTCTCACAAAATCGACTCAGAGTTGCCTTCATTGCAACAAACACTTTGCTCCTTGTTATCTCTCTTGCACACACAAACACACACACACTATCGTCTACACATTAGATACACACTGACTCTTTTCCTGTTTTCATCACTATGTCTTTCTTCTATATGCAAACACACATTTGCTCTCATTGGCCACAAATTATGCTTTTATTCTTCTGTAATACATTCACACACACACACACACACACACACACACACACACACACACATTATTAATCCCATGCCCAATTTCACACTATCGCATTGTAAACTATACATAATGTTGCCAGTACCCTCTTTTGGCACTTAAATACAGAGATCACACTTTTCTACTAACATTAAGTATATAATATGCACAGAGAGGTAACAATTTCTAATATCATAACTTCACTCACAACCGCCACAAAAAATATTTGTTTACAATTTTTTCACTTTTTTTCTACCTGTGAAAATCCTCAACACCACACTCAGGAACAAAGTAATTTTTCATTATAATTTTTGAAGTATAATTTATTCGTTGTTTGTCGTGTAAATGCCCAACGTACTCAAAACACAGGAAGAATTCAAATGTGGTTTGCAACTGACCACTTCAGTATGCTTTCAGGCACACTGATGGTGATATTGAGGTTGTTTCTTCATCTCGGCACACGGTGTTAGGAATATCAAGCTGTATCTCCCATGTAATATCTTTTAGAATGAGGTCATATGAGCTGTATGAATGCTCTTTCAACATGTTCCTCTATGTCTTACAAAATCTGCGCAAAATTAGATGTTGTTTTGGCACCATGTTTCAGTATTCCTGTGAGTGTGTGTATGTGTGTGTCCCTTTATGTCTCCTGGCCTTGTGAGCTGTCATTTTGTCACCCGTCCACTGCTGGCAAGACGGAAAATGATTTTCCCCGTGGGCAGTGGGTGTAACCTCAACTATTTCAGACTCTCAATCACCAGCAGAACAGCGACAACTTCAGTGTTCATCTACATGTTAAGAGTGCGAGTCTTTCCATTCTTGTCATTGCACGCAGTGTACTAAGTACACACTCAGGGACTTTCTCACAAGCTCCACAGAGAGACAAAGCCCTGTGGTGAGCGCTTCTCTGACGGATGGTGGCAAAGACTTTTGTGTGTGTGTGTGTGTGTGAAGATGTTCATGTCGTTGCCGATAGCCTGCAGTCATGCCTCACACACACACAGGCCATGCTTGACCTGGTCATCACCAATCACAGTGACAGAGGGTGACAGACTGCCTGCTGACAAGTGGAATATTCAGAAACACACGCACAGCAGTCAGACTGAGTGATAACCACCTTACTATAGATAGATAGATTCACTTATTCCTCTCTATTATTATGTTAAATCTTTTCTCTAGCTTATAGAAACCAGCAAACCATGCAGGCAGGAGACCACTCACTGTTTTTTTTTGGGGTGTTGGGTTTATCCCTCGTATCTTGTTTTTGACATTCATGACCGAGGTCGTTATCTCAGTGCCCTGCTCACATTTTAGAACCGGCAGGTAGCTGCTGACAGGTGTAAACAAGCTGACCTTTTGAAGAAGGGGCATCCGTCTGTGAGGATTCGTTTGGATCTCTAATGGGTTTCATCCGTCCTCAGGGAATGAAACTCGCTCATCTTTGTCTGTGAATGTTTTTAAGGCCTAAATTAAGAATGCTGTTGCTTGGCCTTTTTGAGTTTTTCTAATGAGCCACCCAAATGACGGGGGATTTTCTCCACCCATACTGCCATAGAGCAGTAACTAGAGAAGCAGAGTAGGGGAAAGCGTTTGAAGGCATAAAACCTAAAACAATGTAGATGCTGCACTCTGTAAAATCTAAAGCGTACAACTCAAAGGCAGTATCTACAAGAGAACATGTTTTTGTTTCTTTAGCTTTCTTGTATGAGCTAGTGTAATAAACGTATCTTTAATTGCCTATATATAATTTAATGGTACCATTAGTTTAACCGCATCAAATCATGTCAATTTCAGACAAGGATCTCTCTTCTCAGATTGAAATAACTCCTCTGATGTTTTTGCATTTGCATATAACCTCAGTCCTCTGCTTCCACAGCGCACACTTCTATAGATGACAGGCTTTGATATGATGCCACATTCCCTCATTTCTCCACCTTCCTTCTCTGTTTCCTTAACGAGGTGGGGGGGGGTTTCAGAGCGAGACCCTCTCGCTAAGACGCTGCGAGTGATTTCAGAGGAAGAGGTCAAAGGGGACGCTCGTCTGTAGAGAGACTGAGATGCTTAAAATGCAGGTTGCGTAAATGCCTCTTAACGGCTCAGAGGCGAGGATGAAGGTGGCGTAGCCTTCTGTGCAAGTGTATGTATGATGCTAAAGTGTGTGCGTGAACAAATGCAAATGAGATTTGTACAAACAAGGTTTGAGTTTACTGATGTCAAGTGGATTCTTTGAGATTAGGGATCTGTGTTTATTGCTTATGTGAAGCATGTTTCATAGTCATCCTCGCAGTTAATGTTAAATAACTCCAGTTGCAATAGTTATTTCATTTTCAGTCGTGCTGTCAAACATGGAGCACATAATGTACCACACTTACCACTTGTTTTTGCATTTGGTATTGTAATTTCAAAAAGGTATAATTGTGAGCTAATTCCATTCTGTGCACATCAACCCACACTCGCAGAAAGGGAAATCACAGCGACTGCTCTTTAATGCTGAGAGCTACAAATCAAATCGTCCTTCCATCCTCTCTGTTCCCGAGTCTGAATACCAGTGCACGCTCCAGGCAAAAGCATAAAGGAGTCCTCTGAGAGCACATAAACACACATGCACACACACACACACATACGCGGCATGATTTAAACCTAGAAGCAGTTTTAGTGTTGTGTCCTGTGCAAAGGGAACCAGGGACCATCCACCATGCACCAAAGAAGTTATTACATTTTTACTTACTGCCCAACAATCTAAAATAGCACATGTCGTTTTTTTGTCTAGGTTATAGCAAACTATTTTAGATCAATTTTTGATCATCAAGGAAGTGAGAAATGTTCAAACACACCAACGGCAACAAAACCTTAATATATGATCACCTTATCATCAGCCAGTTATTTACTTTAAACAGCTGACCATGGTTTTATATGTGGTTTTGAATTGGCCGAGAGCCATTATGATTCAACCAATCAGCCAAATCAATAAGCTGAGAGAGATGAATGATGATTTTTTTAAGTTCTTGCTTGTGAAAGATATTGGTTATGGCAAACGATTAGGTATGGTTAAGTTTAGGCAAAGATCGTTGAAAGATTGTGGTTACGGGTAATAAAAAGACACATAAACATAATTGCAGGATTGCAACGTGACGCAAATGGCGGTCTACGGCATGAAAGTCTCATTTGCAACACGCCCATTCACCCTCACCTCCCACCTCCTTCAGTAAAGGGTATACCCTTCCTGCATTGACAATGGATGTTGGCATTGGACGTAAATTGTGAGGTGCGGAATCATCTAATATGGACGTATTTTCTATGTGCTATTGGGGCGAGATAGCAGAGTCCATTTTCTTGCAATCATGCAGTATGTTGTTCCTGAGCAGTTGGTAAATGCCACAAATTGGACAGAGAAGCTGCACTTGCAGATGTTTTTTTTTTGGGGCTTTAATTCCCAGAAGGGAAAGTTTTGAAGATACATCAAGTGGTAGCTGGGAGGAAAGGGTTGATCCTCCCTGTGTGCCTCTTTTGCACAAGCCTTGTGGTGGAATAAAATGAACCAGAGGACCTTTTGAAGTGGTGTTGAGCAGAATACAGCCTCTAACCACCGAGCCACTAAACGGCCCGGCCCCGGCAGCGCGGCGTAGCACAATGACATTTCCATATGATGTCTGCTCTTAATAGGCAAATATGTGTTGGAGCTGTTTGGAGCTTTGGAGTGCAGAAATGTGTAAACAGTGTTTTGAATACAGAGGGGAAATGAAGGAACTAGACATGAGAGAAGTTGTAATTGAGGTTGGTTTTGGTCCGGGGTTAGTGTCTAAAAACAGAAAAAGGATGTAAAAACATGACAAGCCATTGCATCAGTGTTTTGTGAACAAAGATTCTTTAGTTTTCCGATTTAATTTCCTGTTTGCCTCCTCTCTCTCGTGTCTGTTGTTGTCTTCTTGAGGGAAATCTGTTTCAGCAGCTCACTAACCAAGAGTGTTTTTGTGTTTCAGGAGGAGGAGATGCCAGAGGTAGAGATAGACATCGATGACCTGTTGGAGGTCAGCAGTGACGATGAAAGAGCCAGCAAACTACAGGTATAGCTACACATCATCTGTGTCCACCTTAAAAGATCATTTCTGCATTTTTCAACCCAGTCCCTGTATTCCCATCTGTTTGTGTCGAAGTGAAATTCAACTTTTGAAATTGTTCCAGTATTGAGGGATTACGCTGCAATGTACGTCTACTAAACACAAATAAAATGTTAAAATGAAATCCTTTAATGGACTTTAATTGACGTTGAGGAGTTGCAGTGATTACATTACAGCCTGTTTAGCGATTGCCGTCTGCAGTGTTCTCCCATAATACTGGACCGATTTAAAAAATGTGTCACTTGAATACAAAAACATGGGAAAATAGGGTCCAGGTTGAAAAATACCAAAGTTACCCTTTAAGAGCTCGACAGTATGTTTTCTCGATGAGATGAAGCAAAATCCTCGCTTTTCAGACGAGGAACAGCGAGACTGCTTTGCATGCTGGTCGGACTGTTACCATAGCCTGACATCATGCCAATGACAGAGCGCGTGGAATTGTACATACATTTTACCGTTTATCTTGGTGAATAAATGAAAAATCCAAAGCCTGTGAAGATAAAATTTGAAAACATCTAATCCCTCAACATCTGACTCAGTTCTTCCATTTCTGCTTTTTCCACAGGAATCATTAATAGACTGTTACAAACCAACAGAGGTGAGTATGTTTAGTATGTCTGTCAAACAATAAAACGCTCAACAGCATCGACCCAGCAGCTTGTGTGTGTAGATAGACATTATTGATGCTGACGTGTCGATCTGCAGTGGATAGACTGCATGTTGAAGCATTGTGTCCTACATGTGTACGTGTGGTTAATTAATGTTTCGTGACACTTACACACATTCATTATCCGTTGCCAATGTCATCCTGACCTAAATACGACGAAGGGTTAAAAGGACTAAAAGCCATACACCCACACTAACATGGAAAAGGCGCTGTTTGACACTGTTAGCAAAATAACGCACTAAATTTGTATTTATTGGTGTTTGGGTTAAGCTATTTTGGTGAGTACAGGTAGCGCAGACCAATCACATTACCTCTATATACGGCGATCTCGTCCAGTCTGGACTCCCCATCTGTCATCTGCAAGTGTGTGTGTGTGTGTGGCATTAGGTCAGACTGTAACAACCACTCCAAGGTCATTGGTATCCAAAGCTACACAAGTGTTCAGCCAGGTTGACAGCCGCTGATACGTGTCACACCTACACACACACACACACACACACACACAAACACACTGTAATCCCTTGGTAATGGAGTAGCACAGATGCCGTTTTGAACACAATCCTTCAGAGAAGGCATCGGTTGGGGGATTGACAGTGAAAGACAGAAGCATGGAGAGAAATGTGACAAAGGCATGCAGTGATGGAGGGAGGATGAAAGAACGAACGAGAGCACTGTTAGGAAAAAGGTACACTGGGAAAATAAGAGGAGATGAAGTGAGGGACAGAAGCTATCACAAAGAGAAGGCAACAGAGGGATGCGGCGGAATATATGAAAAGACAGCTAGAGGCAGAAAGACAGACCACAGTGTAGGGGAGGGAGGAGGAGGGAGAGAGGGAGAGCAGGGGGAGGCATCAGTAACTGGGTCATAAGCAGACTCACCCCTGATATAATAAGGGGGATGATATTCCAACATATTCGCCACCACAGTTACACCATTGTGGACCTCTATACAACCTCTGGCTTAGACTCAAGATGTGGGTTCTCTTTGTCCTCCTTCCTTACTGACTTAGTTTCTCCCTGATCAGCATTTTCTTATTATCATTTAAAGGGCAATGCCAGCATGACAGGAGTTTGTTGCTGTGTTTTTTTTTTTCCTCTTAATAGAATAGCAATAGTCTGACATTTTGGGAAATACACTTATTCTCTTTCTTGCCGAAAGATTGATACCACGCACATGTCTGTATGCTAAATTTGAGGCGCAAACCAGCAGTCGGGTTGGCTTAGTTTAGCATAAAGACTGGAAAACCTGGGAAATAGCTTGTCTGGTTTTGTCTATTTCATATAACATGTCAATTAGTTAGCTTTAGAGGTGCTGGTAGGCAGATCTTTCTACCTTCAGACAGAGCCAGGATGGGTGTTTCCACCTGTTTCTGGTTTTTATGCTAAGCTAAGCTAACTGTCTGCTAGTTGTAGATTTAGCGTAGAAATATGAGAGTGGTCTCAAACTTTTTGCACTTTTTAGCATTTAGTGATCTGATTTTATAACTTTGTTGCATCTTGAAATACATATTGTGACTGTGTGTTTGCTTGGGTGTCTGTGTGTGAATGTCTGTGCGCACCTGTCTTCCTAACTATTTTTTCTCTCTTCCTTGCAGAACTTCGTCCGTGACTTGCTGGGCAGGATAAGGGGAATGAGAAAACTCAGTGCGCCAACTAAGAAGGGCCTATAATAGCTGTGATGTCAACCATCAGTCAGCCATAAACTACGTCATCTCAGCTCCACCTACTTAACCCATTCAACATGGACTGTCATCACACAGAATACCTTATGTAAACAGCATTAGTAACTATTTCGCAACCTGCAAAAACAGGTACCATAAACTCCATGCATATAGCACTAGTCATTCATTTCCCAATCACGTAGAATAACAAGGTGTATTATTATATTTGACTGTTGAAAAGGTACAGGAGCAAACGGCCACAATAAAATGTCAAGCCCTGGAAACATGCCAGAACTGCAACTGTGCTTTAACGTGAATACCACCTAACTCCACATGTCAGAGCCATGTTACAAGCTGATGCTGTAATCCACACAGCCATACAGACGACGTGGTAATAAAATGTTTGTACTGCAGTAATTGTGAAATTAGCTGTAGCACTATGTAAACACAGTGCTTCATGATTTTGTCATTTTTTTTTTACTGAGGTGTTTTGCTGTTACTTCTTTTAAAAAATGTACTGTATGTTGCCATTTATTGTTCATGTGATTGAAATGTTTAAAGTCACCCTGCTTGTCCTTACTCCGTCAGTGCTTGCAAATGTAAGGGAGCTCTGTAGTTTTATTTTAAGCACAAGGCGTTAATACATCGATTCTGTCCCTTTGTGACGTGTAAACTCTGGAAAGAGTGGGGACATTTTAGCAGGCGAGGCTAAAATAGAGTGAAGATTTTTTAGCTTTTTCCCCCACTGCTCTAGTATACTTTTCACCACAGCAAGGCATGATGGGTGTTGCAGTTCTCTGTGCGAGGCTACAAAACCTGTATGATTGGCAGCCTTTCACCTGTAATGTTATGCGGTGTGGTCCGTTGTTCTCCCTCATCAGAATACATATTGGTTGTTTAGGTTTAAGCACAAAGCCCATTCATTGTAGTTGTTTCGCACATTCTGGTCCACTTAACTGCTTGCCTTTATAGGACATTCAGGATCAGTTCCCTTTTTTCTCAGCACTGAACCTTAACTACTGACGACCTTAAAGGCAGATATGGTTGAGTCAGAACCTGAGGACAACTTGAAACCTTGACACTTGAAACCTGTCAGGTCCTGTAAGGGAAGGTGTGCCAAAACTGGGAGTATTACATCTTAAATGTCATACGTCACGGCAGCATTAGTGTGACACAGCATTTCCACAGAGATTCTTTGTAGAAGATTTTAAAACATCTGAGAGTGGGCACAGAATTTTAAAGATGTTTAAAACTTTTCCAGATTGCAGATAATATGTTGTAATTGCATAATCCCAGGTTTAAGAGGTGGATTTAGTTGTTTATTGTCATCTATGTGTACCAACACACTCAAAAACCTGTAAGCTCTGGTACAATCATGACTCTGTTATGGGGTTGGGCCCAGTTTCACTTCCGAGCAGTCAATCGTGTACCGACAGGAATGGAGCAGACTTAAATCTGCCGTATGATATACCCTCAGCTGCCAAAGACAAAAGCAGGGCAATGTTTCATTTTAACATAACACTCGCAAAGCACCCGTCTTGCATGCTAACAACGGAGAAAAGAAACACTGATAAAGAGTATAGATATTATGAACTTATAATCGAGCAAAAAATACATTTTTGACTTAGCTACCATGTGCGACTTTGTAGAACTTTTTTGTGTTGAAACAACGTGACGGTCACGTTGGAGAGAATCCAGGAATATTTTAAAAATGGTGCTGTTTTTGATGTTCTTCCCAGGTTTTTGTTGTATGAAACACATTTTCACTGTTAATTGATGCCAGAGAAATGTGTCTGAAGAACCGTGTCTGTCTTTATTGATGGGGTGCATACAGTCTCTAAGTGACGTCCTCTTTGCATTTCCTTTCTTCAATCTGGACCGGGCAGTGGTTGATTTGGTTGAAAAAGATCATGTATTTTCTGGATCAGTGACTTGGAAGGAAAAGTTGAAGAGGAAGCCATTATAGGCAAATGAGATGCATCCAGGGCTCATGCCGAGGTACTCCATAGGATTTTCTCTTTTCAAGAAACTGTTCAGGGGTAATAGGCTGATATTTTATAATTTACGGGATCTCATGTAGAGAGTATTTTAAAAGTGTTCATATACTAGAAAGCTTTACGTTTGCATGTATTTTTAAAGTTGCATGTTGAGGGGAACATTTTGTTGGCCCAAAGCTTTTTATTTCACAAAATAATACACTTTCCTTTTTATACCTTTATTATTATTAAGACTAAAATATTCAGTTTTGCAGCTGCAGTTTTGTTTTTTCTCTACATCCACAATAAGCGTTCTTGTTTTTAAAATGTAATGTGGTGTGTGGTTTGTTTTTGCTGATAATAAAAATGCAGAAGGACTCTGTACTGTTTAAACAGATGCCTTCCCTGTGTGATCTTATTTTTTTAATGGGTAAAGAATGTGTGTCTTTGTGTTTTATTCAAAGCAATAGTTTGACACTGGAAATGGCTGGAAACAGCTTGGCTCCGTTCAAAGGTAACAACATCTCACCAATTAACACAATATATTTTTTTGTTTAATTTGTACAAAAACTAAAGTCTATAAATGACAAGTTTCTGTTTCCAGTCTTAGTGTTAAGCTAAGTTAACCAGCTGCTGTGTGTGTGTGTGTGTGTGTGTGTGTGTGTGTCTGTGTTTCTGCACAAGGGGCATATTAGAGCATCATGGTCGCCAATGTGTTCCTTCTCAGTGCCACACAATGTGGCAGTAGTTCAGTAGGACAACCCTGTCTGATTCTGTTAAGAGCTCGACAGGGTATGACATTATTGCTCAACGTTCGCATGAGTAGCCTTTCTCTGCAGCATGTCTAGTCCCATATGGACTACCCTACTGTACACTGTTGCTAGGTAGAAAGTGATCTGAAATTTGAGAGGGTGCTAAGAAAGAGGGGAAAAAAGAATCACAATGAAGCTTTAAGTTGCATGGTCACCAATCTGTCAGGGAACAAGTCAATCTCCCTGCAAATCAAAGCTCATACATTTTTATTTCTAAAAAAGGAAGTCATGTGGAAGAATATAGGCCAGTTTAGAGAAGAGACAGACAGAGAGAGACACACTTGGTGAATGTGCCACAGCTTTTATTCCCCGCAGAGAACGTGAATGTCTTCTGATTCACTGACACACATTCCCAAACAGCCTCGTGGATTTCAATGCAGGAGACAGAATTGCACACACGTACTGCGTGTTGGGAGGAACAGAAAGCCTGAGCGCGGCGGTGCAGTGCTACAAGGCTGCGTGTGCCTTTAAATTCCATGACCCACTTTTCACAGCTGGGGCTGGCTGGCAGGGAGCGCTCGTGCACGCTGCCTTGAATAATTGGGACTGCAAGGTGAATGTGAGGAGAATAGCTAAGGACGGGAGCATCCCCCCCCCCCCCCCTTCCCCGACAGCCAGCGTGCCCGGTTCAGTCAGCTGGCTGCACACCAGCAGATCTCACACCAGCACAGTCCTCGAGTGGCTGACGGTCATGCCGTTTCAGACTATTAAAACTGATGTGAATGGAGACAGTTGTTTGTCAGAAGAAAGGGGAAATTGTATGGACGTATGAAATGTGATTGGCAAGAGTGAGGAAATGAAAAATTACACGAGCTGTTATTTGTTTACACTGTTGAAGCCACAGTGAATTTTCAAGGAATACAATAGAAAAAACATCTCCTAATGTGAAATAGCCAAGCAAACCCCACTGTAAATGTTATGCCTTCCCATCCCCCTCCTCATTTTGTCGTTCTCTCTCTTGATTCTATACATTCCTTTCCACCCCGCTTACTCTCCTCTTCTTCTTCCCCCCCTTCCCTTGTGGATTCAGTGATCCAGCATGCCAATACTTCAGAGAGACAGAAAGAGAGAGATGGGGGGGGATGGATTGATAATAGCAAAAATAGACAGGCAGACACTGAATATGACCAGGGCGGTAAAAGGAGAGATGAGAGATGGCCTTGACACCAGCAGCCTCTCCCCCCCCCCGTCCAGTTCCCTTCTGCTAGAAGATGGATCCCATCTCGTCTCCACTGGTGTGGAGCCCAACATGCAGCATCAGACAAATGCTGCGCCGACGTGCCACGCTGTTGTGGTCTGCTCATTCATTCACATGACAGGCGATTCAGCCATACAGCATCACTTATGACCCAGACAGAGAGATAGAGAAGTGGGGGCAACCCTGCACACTAGACCTGCTCCATCAGAACTCTCTCCTTACCATCCCTGTTGTAACCTGCAAGTGATCTTAGGACGACGGGAACATTATAGAGACAAAGAAAGTGCTTTGCAAAGTGGGCCAGACGAGGTTACGCCAAATTAAGTAATTTCCAGCCGGATTGTGTGTCTTTGACATCTACTGATGAATATTTGATTCTACTTCAACTTGAAGTACAACCGAATCCCTGGGAACAACCTCCTTTCCCAACTCTATAAATACTATATAACACACATGCACGTGTTCCACTTACACAGCTTGCATATGTGTGTGTGGCAAAACCTGCAGTTTGTCTTGTGGGAAATCTATTTAATTTCACTTCGCTGAGCACATTCAATTTTCCAGCACCCCAGACATGAATGTTACAACTCTTGCTCTTCAAGCATAAAAAGAGGTAGGTGTGCACGTGACCACACAGACTTTGTTGCCAACAACGACCACTTTTACCATTACTACTTCGACTACTACTGCTGCTGCTGCTGCTACAGCTGGAGGCGAACACACACACATAGCAGACTTGACTGAATGAGTGGGAATTGCTTTAGTGCAGCTGTCTGAAGCAGTTTTGGTGAGAAGTTCATATAAAGCCTTTATACTAATATTTACCTCAGTGACTACTGTCATCACTAATATGCATGATGGGTTGGACAAAATGAAAGTACTAGTATGAATGTACAAATGTACATTACTCAATGCCAATACTGATGCATCAGTACGATTTTTACTGCGGTAGCTTGACGAACTGGAACTAGTTTTAAGTACCCAACTCTACCCCTGAACCGAGTAAAAAGCACATTATTTCACTCTGAAATGTATTGTAGTAGAAGTAGAAAGTAGCGCAGTAAAGTACAAGCACCTCAAAATTGTACGACAACATTGTGTATAAATGTCCTTAGTTATCCCAAATCATTAGAATAGACAGGCGCTAGACCATTTTCATATGTTGTGTATGTAAAGCCTTATTGTTAAGTAGCACCCTAACCCCACCCAACACAATAAATGCCTGGATGTCAGTAAAACACTGCAGTGTAGACAATAACACTGCGACCACCCGAGGGATTAATGGCAGGGATTTAGAATTAATAGCGCTATTTACTTGGTTCACATAGCCATATGTCTGCTGGCCTGTTTGTGTATGGACTACTTGTTTTTGAGGTTTGTTTTCTTTCTTGTGATTGGCCCTTTCTGTGCATATGCAGTGGGATTAGATTGGTCCGATGTAAAGGGCCTCATTCCTGGATACAGCATGCCCTGTGCAGCTGAGTATGTGTGTGTGTGTACAAGTGTGTGCTCAAGGCAGGGCAAGTCTATTTAGACAACATGGGGGGAGTGCTGGTGGGGATCTGTCTATCTGCAGGGGGCGAGTTCAGATCATTCTCTATTATGCCATCTGTTTCTAGTGAATTATGTAGAGACAGAGGCTATTATACTAACACAACAACACAGACGACATGCTCGGGGCGTTGCATGGTCTTATTTGATCCATACGTACACAATTGTTTCATCAAGAAAAAAAAAACAGACAAGTTAAAGCATCCTGAATCCTGTGATTTGCTGGTTTCCTTTGTTTTGTTGATCACAAAAATAAAAAGTGAGGCTTAAAGTGAACGGTCTCAATTGTCAAAACAACGAAAAAAAGTTGCGAGTTGCTATGGAGACATGGTCCCGTCTGTCTGCTGCATGAAAGGTACCACGAGGATAAAGAGACAGGGCGGCAGAGGCACACGTAAGGACAGCGACGGAGAGGCAGGTGGAGTCAGTTTTAAAAGGACAAGATGTAAGATAAAAAACACAGGAGTGAAGAAGTACTGCGTGGTGCAATAACAATTAATAGTTAATCTGCTTTTGTCTCTGCTGTGAAAAGGCAGCAGTGATAGAGTATGTGGGTTACTCGACGGCAGCAATTAAACCTGCATAGCAATGTGCTTCATTATTAATTGCCAGAGTACGTGTGGATTTACCATGATGAGATAATCTGCAAACCTTAATGAATAAAAAATCAAATGGGAAAACACAATGGGAGTCGTGATGATGTATCCATAATACAATATCTGTTGCTAAAGTGTTATCACCGCTACATCTGTTTATTTGTATTTTGTTATCGTTAACACAGCGGCATGTCTCTGCAAGCTGGTTTGAAATTCATTTTTGCAGTCTATACATTGTTTATCTCATTATCTCTTAGATTTTCTTCACTTGCTCAGCACCTCATAATTACGGTTTTAAAAACAAATAGTTATACGAATTACAATACAGAAGCTTTGATTTTACGTGACACTCAAAATTCACAGAATTTTGGTTATGTCACATTAGAGATTTGTGTGTTTATGTTTTGTCTGGGCTCATTTGAAAATAAAAAAAGGCTTTAGGAATTTTTTGAACCAATCAAACCACAATACAGTCCTAATGAAGCAGATTGGCTTGAGTTCTTAAACATTAAACTCTTAAATAAAGCCTTAAATATTTTTCCAAGACTTAAACTTTGATCGTTGCTTATTTAGTCATGGGTATGTTGATGTTATAGAAAAGGATTTTAGGGGGCTTCAATACCACATCCCTCTAGATCGCCTGCTTCATCTAGAAACGTATCTGATCTCCGCTCTGATGTTTGCTGGCCCACGCTGTGGGTCCTGTGCAGGCGCACACACAAACAGGTAAGCACACAAATTTATCCAAATAAAATCAGCGAGGAGCAAGGAGAGGCCGCTTGTCCTCAAAAATTGGTTCCTCGATCTGCTCGACCCTGAGCTGATCTTCCATGAGGAGCCCGGAGCATTAATCCACCAGAGGATCAGCATCCCAAAGTTGAAACGTCTGACATCCATTCCCTCGGAATCTTGCACTCATTTAGTCAAGCAAACACACAAAATCTCTCTCACTTCAGATCAGAAAGTAAATACTCGATGCCATGCAGAGACTCGTGTGTATATTCTTTTCATTGAGGGGATCGATGCCTGTGTAGGGAGAATCTTTAGGATGCCTGTTCCTTGGGAACCAATTACAGGCAGTTTGGGGAGACTTTCATCATGCACATGTGACCTTGAACGCCACTTCAGGCTTAACCACCCCGCACTGACTGAACCCTGTACTCACCCTCCTGGCTTCTGACACAACAAAAACAGAAAAACAGACGCTAAAGAGGAGCAGGGGGTAGTTTTGCCTTGAGGGGGTTTTCTCTGAAAATTAAGTAAATAAGGGGCTAGGATCAAATCTAAGTTAATGAGTATAAATATGACTGCAAAAGAGCTGAAAAGGTGCAGTCCCCTGTTTGCAATCAGCATTTTCCCATCCTTTCCTTTTCCGACCCTGTCAGGTCCAGAGATGCACTTATTCTAGGCCAAAACCTCCTCCCTCCACCTCCTCCATCAGAGGAATTGCCAAGCAGCTGGTTGCCATGGTTTTGGTTGTCCCTGCACCAATCAATAGCCGTTTTACTGGGGGTCCAAGAGAGGGAGGGAATCAAACCTGCACAGTCTGGCAAATAGCAACGATATGAGCGGAGATTAGCATACATCCAGCAGGGAGCAGCGAATCCTTGCTCAAATAGCACTGGTCTGGTTTATTTTAGTCTCAAATCTCATTTTGTTTAATTGAAATGCTTCTTTGTGGGTTAAAGGGTGACTGTGAGGTGAAACAGCCTTTATATATATTTCTATGCACTGTTATTCATTGAGGCCAGACTTTGATGTTTGGTGAATTGATAAATCTGTGGTAATGTGATAAATCAAAGCTACTGTTATTCATGCATAAATATTCTGGGTATTAGACAATACTTGTTTTAATAGCTCTGCTGAATCTTGTGATTTAAACATCTTATTGATGCATCAATGAAACCTAATGAGAACGGCATTGAATCCCTATAATGGGATTGAGTGTAGTTTTGATGAGTCAAACATTATACATTTAAGAAGAGGGCTCCCTCTGCTGGTCATGTACAACAATAGCCATACGTTGAACTGTTTGCTAGTTCAAACCATTGCTATAAAATTCTTCTAAAAATTGCTGTCCAGCGAAAAACCATCCTAGCTCCACATCAGGTGTGTTTGAATTTGTCATACAACTTGAAAGATAAAGTTTTCCTTTTTGGGTTGAAAAAAAATTATCCGACTTGTTAAGCCACATAATATTTAAAAAAATCACTGAAAGCCATTAAAAAACAAACCAGTAAGAGCTGTCACAGAGCACAACTTTATCTGGAGATATATAAGATAATGTGCTACACACCCATAATCAGCACACACAGGTGTTGTCACATATTGTGCAGCAAAGCGACATGTTCACTTTGCTGCACCTGGTAGGACGGCACTATTTATACCCATATTATAGGGCTTTTTCACAGAGGATGTTCTGGTAGGTCACAGTATGAAAAGCACAGGTGTATATGATACAATTAATGATGGTTAAATTCAAAGCAACTGCTTGGGCCCTGGTATTGGTATTGTGCATGCTGGGCTCAGTGTCACACTGTCATGGCTTACTGGGACACTTGAATAAAACGGAGCGATACGTAATGATATTAGTAACATCTGTGCTCCACCCAAATTCAACCTGACTTAAGGTAAAATTAGCAAGAGTTATCGAAAACACCATTAATTATTATATAACAAATAAATACATGTCAAAAAGGTGACTAAGTATGACTGACCACTTTGCTAAACTTGTACAGACACCAAACATACAGGTCAAAAGATCACAGCATTGGTAAGACGTTCTGTTGTACTCGCATTGCCACTGGATGTCAGCATTATACTTCAGACAGACCTGAGACCATGTTGCACTTGAACAGTGTACCTTGTCCTATCATGTTTATCAAGCAGTCATTGTACAAGAAGTACAAATATCATTATCCAGACATAAAATCACTAAATATTTAATTTCTAAGTGGATTAGGCACGAACACAACAGGTGAGATTTATTGGTTTATGAAGGTGCAGAATTACGCAAATGTCTGATAATGTCTGATGATTGATACTAATAGTGTGCGAAAAGTTTATTCTGTGCTGTAAACACACCAGAAGGTGTTAGCCTGGGTCCCCCCCCCCCCACCTGTCCGTGGGAGGGTGCCCGGCCCGTCTCGACATCATCGCAGCAGGTCCTCTCGGGTTCCTGGAGCTGATCCCTCTCAGCTGACGTCAGGAGAAATGGCGGACCAGGATGGCAGCGACGCATCTCCTCCAGAGTCCCAAGGTGAGTTCCTACAGACGGAAAAGTTTTTTTAAAGCTTCTTTTTATTTAAAAAAAGGACGATCTGATATTTAAAGTACCACGCACTGCTCAGCTGAACCGGCTTCTGTTGATTTTGTCGACGTTTGAAACGCTGAAACTCCAGAAGAGACTCTGAGCCGGTCGGTCACGGGAGTGGGATTAACTACGAAACCGACTCACCCAACCGGTTGTCTGACGTTTAATAAACACGAGCTGTTCTCTAAACTACAACATTTTCAGTTGCACCTGTTGTCGTTTGTTGAAAGACGTCTTGAGCTCCTCCTGCGCTGTCGGACACCTGTTGCTGACATTTTGTCAAGTCGTGCGTAAAGCGCCTCCAGTTGACGTGACAGGTGAATTAATGGAACCGAGCAGAGGGTTTGTTTGTCGTGTTAATACCTCGAACTTTTCTACAACACCAGTTAACCGGACGTGACCCAATAAACTGTTATTTCATGGTGTCGTTTTTGTATCAATGTTAGGACTGAAAATGAGCTGCAATGAAGTGCGGTTTTTGTTTTCTTTAGCTCCTGTTCTGTGTTGTCGGGCAGTATGTCATTTTTGAATCACACTTTCTCTTTGCGTGGTGAAATAAATGTTACATAAAAACCTAAAAGCCAAAACAAAATAGTGGTGTGTTTGACAGTGTGTGAGCTGCTGTCAGTCTAAATCATTTTCTCTTCAGGGCAAATCATCAAAGCAATGGCCACGTGTCGCCAGCGATGTCGCCAGAATCAAAGAAAGAAGAATACTGTGGATAATCCCCTTATTGTAGTTCAATACTGAATCAAAAAAGGGCAGAGCATTTAAGTAATATTTGTATTATTTCAGTTCTGGCCATTTCTCAATTAGTAATGACGCACAACAGGTGTTTTCAATTAGCTGCTAATGGCAAAACACCTGCTGTGACGTCACTGATTGGGATGTTGTTGGAGCAGTGCAACAGTGTGTTCACATCCTGAACTACTTATCCAGCCTCATCTTCATTCACTAGCAACCTTAATACAGATGTTATATGTTAAGTGGGTGTGTCGTTGAGTGTATCAAGTGGGCGCATTCTTTTATTGTTTATTTGACTGAGTTAAGTCTACGACACCTATTGAGGACTCTGTGATAAGCTCTGCTGTCCCAGATGTATCTCGCTGTGACTTCACTGTGCGCGAATAAGGAGTTTACAATATTACGTTTTTACTCAACCATTTCTAAACCTCAGCTTTTCACCTTGTTGGCTTCAAACTGTTTAATCAGCGAACCATGATGCTGTGAGCCGTTCGACCACCTTTGACCATAACAGTGAAGCTCTTTATAATGTTGTGACTGTGTCCTACGGGATTATTTTTTTTTAATTTTCTAATTTGTGCCATCCAATAGTTGCCCCATAACATGCCTGCGCAAAAATGCTTTGTTTATTTTGTCTCACTAAGTGGCAAGACCAGTTTCAATATCTCTTTCTTTATCAGCTGACATTCCCTGCCAACTAAATTAGCTGTTCATCTTTGAATTAAATGCAACAATAATCTTATATCTGTGCGTTGCCAAATGTATCCGTTTATACGGCAGTCAAAATATTTGCTCTAATCCCGTGTTGGTGTGTCTCTCTCACACATATTCAATAGGTGTGAGGAGGGTGTGCAGCCCAGCCTCTCCGGTTTAAGTCTCAGGATAGGATTACAGCATTACTCTATCCTGCAGGGACAAAGATCAGATTGCTCTTTCGTGAATGTGTGGTCGTACAGCATTGTGCACCCGAAGGAGATGAGGCAGCAAGTCTTGCCCTGAATGTCTTTTATATTCTACGGCAGATGCTTGGAAATGTGAATTGGATGTGTTCTTTAATAAATACTAAGAAAGTGACAAGGAGGCTCCTTCACACAATACAAAGTCAATGGAGAGCGATGAATTGTTTGCCCCTCCGGAGTGGGTGGGACTTACTTGCACTCTGTCTCCGTGGGTATCAGTGGTCGTGTCTAATCATTTTGTCGCCTTGCTGTCTTGAGCCACAGTATTTTTTTTTTTAGAAAGATTTCAAGCTGTCATGCTGGTTGTTTGATCTCCGTGTGTATTTGCCTTGGTAGATGTGAGCTCAGCCTGCTACTATAATGGCTGTTCAGGCTGATGTTTGCACTGTTATTGGACAAGCCTCCAATCATGTGGCCTGCAATATCTTTATCATGGGCCTATTATTATTATTATTATTATTATTATTATTATTATTATCTCCCTCCCTTCCATGGCACCTGCCATACTGTGTGTGTCTGACAGGTTCAAATGCTCAGCAGATCTTCTCTCTTTACCCTCTTTATTTCTCACCCTTTCATATCCAGAATATTGTCAGTGTATGAACTGAAGCATAACTTGGTATCTGTTGATGCTGCTCAGATATATCTGTTCATCTGCATATATCTTACCTCTGTGTCCTCCTGTTCCTGTAAAGAGCCAGCAGGACATGAAAAGAATAGATTTGCATATTTATTGTAAGACCCTGGTATTTCAAATAGTTGATGGCTCTTTCAGTGGAGAATGGGGGCGGGGTCATATACCATGTGCTCTAAGAGCACAGCCCTTCCAGGCAGCTCCAGCACTGCATTATTTGCTTTGGTGTGTGTGTGTGTGTGTGTGTGTGTGTGTGTGTGTGTGTGTGTGTGTGTGTGTGTGTGTGAGTGAGAGAGACACTAAAGTGTGCCTGTCCTCTGCTCTCTCGCTTCCACTCTGCCACCTCATCATTGGTCCATGTGCTGCGGTTGTCAGGGAAACTCTTTACCGGTACCGGCTCACCTTCCACTGCTTGATTTGCACTGAATATTTTAAAGGCCCTGCTGCACTCTGTTACCCGTGTATCTGTGGGCCAGAGTGTGTGTGTGTACACAGTCAGTGCCTCTGTGATGTGATTCCTCTGACAAGTTTGCGTTTACAGAATAGGCCCAGCAAGGAGGGGGAAAAGGGGGCTGCAGTAACAGTAGTGACAGCAGCAGCAACAGTAGTGACAGCAGCAGCAGCATCTCTTGAGGAGTGAGGGAGTCAAGAGAATTTCAATCTTTCCAGCTTTCGACCGAGCCGGTCTTGTGGATTAAGTCTTTTTTTTTTTCTAAGCCAGACTACAAGAGCTCATCCTCAGATTCTGTCGCACTCTCTGTCTCTTTCGCTGTGTCTCTGCCTGGCACTGTCATCATAGGCAGTATATATATATATACACGGCACAGTGGGCAGCTCGGTTTGTCTCTCTTTCAAGCTCTTCATCTCTCCAAACGTTTGTCCTTTAGCCGTCTTTACCTGTTTTTCTCTCGTCTGTCACATTTCATTTCATATCCTCCATCTCTCTCTGATGTGTCCTCCTCCTCTCTTCCTTCTGCTGTCTCGGACACAGAGCAGCAATGCACAGCCAGAGGAGTTAGCTGTTAGCATTAGCTGTTAGTTATCTACGTCTTCACTGCGAAGAGGGCTTTTCGGTGTGACCCCGTCCCCCACCATCTTCTTGCATTCACCACTGACCTGCCCCCCCACCCCCACCCCACCCACCCACCCCCACCCGCCACTGCAGGGTGGGATGGGCAGGGGCACGGTGAGTTAGCCAGTGGCTCGAGGGTTAGCAACAGGGCAGGCGATGCCAGACAGTAAAGGAGGAGGTGGAGGTGGAGGTGGGTGCTCGCGGGGCAAGTGGAAGCTGAGGAAGGGAGGCAGCCGTTCAGCCATCCCGGCACTCTTCACCATCACAGAGGAAGAGGAAGGACAGAGACGGAGAGATGCTTGCAGGAGGAAGACGAGAGGTATGGAGGAAAAGGATAGAGGGGAAACTGACAGGGGTGTTAAGTGGAGGAGCAAGATGGATGTGCATGCTCTGGTACTTTGTACACATTGAGCTTCATTTAAACAACTAAATAGTGTGCGAGTGAGTGCTTTCACATCTGGGACAGAGAGGCTGCCAAGGCAAAGAAAGATGCGACCAGTATCTGGAGAAGCACAGGAGTAGACTGACTGAAAAAAGACATTGAAGTTGTGGAGCATTTAACGCAAGTGCACGTGTGTATTTAATAAAAGAACGTTAATCGTGTGTGTGTGTGTGTGTGTGTGTGTGTGTGTGTGTGTGTGTGCTGTTCAATCTTTCAGAGGAAAAGTCCTCTTAACCCATCATTCTCAGTTATCTAGAGACAGGTGGCTGATGAGAAGTGTGTGTGTGTGTGTGTGTGTGGGGGGGGGAAACCAGCTGACAAGGCAAGATTGTGTCAACACAAGGGCAGCAGATGAGAGTGAAGGTGCAGTCTACTTCACACGTGTATGTGGTTTTAATGCATCAGTAGGCAGAGCGGTCAGTCAGCAGGACAGCATGTGTCACAGCAGGTAGAAATGTGCAAAACTTTTTACTGATGTTCTGGTTGTGTCTTTTGGAGTCGAGAGCTTCAAATATCTGAGAGCAAAAGTTTTGCTTTGTTGTTGATTCATTCATCCACTTCATAGGTTTTCATTCAGTGAGGACGAGACCTGCTGTTGTGTCGTATTTCCAGGGACCGTTGGTTTCAGTAACCCATTTTTGTCTGATTTGGGATTAAGGTCTGAAGAATTAGTTGTGAACTAGACTGGAAAAGGTTATGGGCCGGGTTTTATGGGTATTGTAGTATTACAGACTGAATCTGCACCATGCTGCTGCCCTTAAAACCAATAACGTGGTATACTGTGAAGGAGTATGGTTAAGTCAGCAGTGAGGTTTGCAGATGCACTATTGTGATGCAATGGAGCACCTGTTTAGTTTTATTTCATTTTATTTGTATTTAATGTCCATTCATCCATTTCTTTGTTCTTTTTAAAAGGAGAACTTGTATAACAGATTGATTGAGGAAGGGTTTGTTCTGACTCGTGGAGACAGGAAGGTGATCAAATATTAATGTCAGTTAAAGATGGAGTTTTTATGATTCAATTATTTATTTATGATGTTTATGATATAATTTATGAAGCTAGACCTGACTCCAAGGAACTAAAGTAGTTGTCTCTGCAACTGCTATATGGTATAAAAAGAACAAGACAAAACAAAAAGTTGATGGGATTTCTAAACAAGTGCATTTCCTTTAATTGTAAGACATGATTCTCATACTAAGGGTTTTGCAGTTCTCTCTTGAAGCGAGCATGTGCATCTCACTTAAACCATGAATAATAGAGGAGAACAGACAAGAGAGGGTTGGAAAGGAAGAGATGATTGTGCAGTGAGCATGATCTCAAAGAAAAGTCACAGGTAACTGCTAAGTCATGCCGTGATACTGTCTTCATTCCAATGGTGCCAAGTGTAAGTACGACGCATGGCTAACTCGTCAACATACATTTATGTGTGTGTTCAACCTTAGCGGACCTTTTAATTTACCAAGAAGAGTGCAGCCTTTATTACTCCTCTACATAAAAAGAAGAATATGGACTTTTTATGTGTTGTGGAGGTGTAAAAGCATGGCTTGTCCTTCAGTGTTCAGTTGGAGTTGATGGAGTTTTGATCGACATTGGTTGACGTGCGCTTTGGTTGGTTGAGTGCTCTTCAGTGATTCTTAATCTCTGACATGACATCTCATAGCAATTTGGATGCCAACTGTAAACAAATCAACCAACGACCAGTTTCTGATAGCATTAAAACAATAAATAAAAAAAGCGTATTCACGGCCCTTTTTGTCCAACGTGTTGTCAAAAGCACAATGAGTGACTCTAGACATACCTCCTGTCATCTGAGCTGAAACCTGTTACCTGCCATGTGCAACTAATGCAGCAGCACGCTCCTCTGAAGGCACCTGTGATCCAGGCCTGACGGGCCTGTCCTGGGGCTAGAGAGGAGGACTCCCGCCCACTTTGCCTCCCTGTTGGCCGGAGCTTAGCGACTAGCTTAGCATTAGCAGCGGGCTAATCCTCTCAGGTTGCAGGGGAAGCTGGAGCTACGCAGCATGCTCGCCTGCTCCCCACTGGCCTGGACCGCCCAGCATTAATCGCTAGCTCTGACCATTTAATCTGACTGCCAATGAAGGCAGATAGATTGGGGGTGGGGAGCGTCTCCACACACACACACACACACACACACACACACACACACACACACACACACACACAGTCCAGCACTAAGGGAGAGAGGGGCAGATTAAACAGTCACACTCTCCCTATGTCTCACTCTCTGTCTCTTTTACACACACACGCATAAACACACACACACATGGACAAAAGGATGGGGGTTGGAGAGTCTGGCAGTCAGTCGGCTCTCAATAACGGTGTCACCGACCAAAGCTGACCCCCTCTCTCTCTCTCTCTCTTTCTCCCTTCCTGCTTTCCCTTTTTATTTTGAAAAAGATCTTTTGGTGGTCCCTTTTTCGGACATTTGGAATTTCTTCTTTTTGCTTTTTCCTCCGTCCTGCTCACTGCACCATGGACTTTGGATCTGAGCTTATCTTCCACCGTGTGGGATGTTTACAGGAAGTAGGACTGTTGTTTCTGGCCCTCCGATCTGACTAGTAGGAGAGGGGGGCGCTAGCTAGGGGTTCAACATGTCACATCCCGGCATTGGCACCCCTGGAATCATGCACCAAACTCCAGGTAAAGACTTGCGATTCGATCCAAGGACTTCTGCTTCATTGATAAATTCGGCACAGGTTGAACAAGGTGGAGGGCAGGGAATGAACACACGCACACTGCGGTCTGTCAGCAACGGGACAGTTGTGTTTTATTTTTTTTAAGTTCAGTCAAAGTGAGACTGCTGCCTTGTTTTCTTCCGTCTAACACAGTGCATACAGTGTATGTGGAGCAAAGCTGGACTGGCTTTAGAGTCAGCGAGATGACGGAGTGTATTTTAGGTTGACTCACACTCGTGTTTTTTGTTATGTATTATATGTTCATGTGTATACTTTCAGAACTGGAGTTGCATCTCACACACACACACATACACATGCAAACATGCACAGCTTTGACATGACATCAATCAACCAACATCCATTAACAGCTTTATCACATGTGTGCCATATTTGCAAATACTAAAAAACAAGTGGCCATCTGTCTGTTATTCAAATTCCACTGGTAAAATATTAGCCACATTATGTCATGCACACCTGCTGTACTCTATTTATGCTTTAATAAACACCTGTTTTCATTGTTATTCCTCTTTGTTAGTCATTTGTAAGCACAGTTTCTCTTTATGCATCATATTACTTCTTCCTACTGTAGAGATCCTAATTTTCCCTGTGGGAGTGAGTTTATTATAGATGATATTGATCAATCATGAATCATTTCAACGTGAGATGCATGCGTTCTACTGTTGTAATAACAGGGTTATATGCTTTGAATAGACAATTATTATTTATTGTAAATGGAACTCGGTTTCTTTTCTTCCTTTTGGCCGGTCAGTGTTGTTGTTCCCTTATTGGTTTTTTCTGGGCCACAATTTGTAAGGTAGAGAATAATTTGTTATTAGTGTGGTTCAGAGCGTTCCCACCACTTTTCAGTGAAGTGTTCAGTTCAAACTGTCGGATTGAGGAAAGCGGTTCTGCTCTTAGACTTAGTCTCCACTGGCTTATTGTGTCGTGTCCCACTCAGCTTGTCAGACGGACTACTTCATCAGTCACTAGAAGTTAACTTCCTCAAACAGAAAGAGCTCTTTTATGGCTTTCTGAAGCACATTTATGTTCATGTGACCTCTTGGTGGAAGTTGCGTACGGTCCTTCCAGTGTAGTATTTGGCTGCAGGACATTGTACTCCACTCTCAATGAGCTAATCATTTGCTCAAAGGAAATTACTTCAGGGGAAAGAATACATTCATTGACGAGACATTATTGTAACCTGGCCGGGCCCAGCCTTTCCTGCCACAATAGCCATTATCAACCAGTTTCAATAGTGCTGCACCAGAGGCAGGGTAGACCTGTTAATACTTGTGTACACACCTCCGTGGAGGTCCCGTAGACTGCGAAATGCAATACTTCTGCAGCTATGACCTTACGTCTTTGTCCAGCGTGTCCTTACTGCAAAATACCTCAATGAGTTAGGGTGGAGACGGCAATGGCAGTTTAGATCTATAACGGTGTCTGCAACATGCCAGACCATAAACCATAAAGTGTAGCAGTACGTGGATAACAGTCCATGCCTGATTACCTTTTGTGGCATACAGTTGCCACATTATTATCTTAATTGCATAGGTATCACACAGACTAGTCTGGTCATACATCCGCGGAAGCATTGCATTATGAAAAAAGGAGGATGCAGTTTAAATTGACGTTGTTACATTTAAATGCAAAGTGTACTTGAGCGTGTTCAACTTGTAGCAGTGGATATGAAACTTGTACTTTGCTCTTCTCTTCCTCCGGCATAATTAATTACCCCACTGAACTAACAAGTCACTGAAGTGAAGAGATAAAGAAAGCATGTGTAGAGAAGAGTAAGATTAGTGCGTTCAGCTTGTGCTATTTCAGGTATAGAGTCAGTGGAGTCTGGGTCAGGACGACTGGTTTAATTTAAGCTCCAACTTTCTGGGACAGATTGGTCTCTGTGGACTTGGCGGCAATTACTTTGCACACCCACAGTATCTCTGCATACAGTGTTCAATTCTTCAAGTTAATTAGTTGCCACCTTAACACTGTTTGTCTTTGCATCCTTGACTATTTGAGCCAGCTTTTTTTTAACCCCAAATCACAAAGGTGTGTACATGTTGGGTAACATTTGGGACAGGCTTATCTGTTTGTGCACAATAAGGCCCATGTTAGGCTCTGTGTCTGTGTCTAGGAGGCTGACCTGAAAGTGCTGAGTCACCCTGAGCCCGATGGTGTGTGTCATTAGTCAATAGCCCGGCTCCGAGCTGAGTGGGAACACTGCAACAAACGGGGAACATTTGAGAACGCAGGGAGCACAGTTTTGTTCTACCCCGTTTTGTTTCCTGTCAGGCTACAGTGCAGACGTTCTACTGTAAATGTTGCCAAAAACCGAGCTTCAGAGTCTAATAGAGGCAGCACTATATGTTTGATTACGTCTCGCGCCGTTGTGACGCTATCACGGTGACTAAATCTGTCTACAGACAGAAATGTAAACAACTGGCAAAGTACTGAAAGATGCTTCTGTAGTAGCTCCTGCTGCAGTTGGTGACCACACCTCTTACCATGATGGCACACACACACACACACACACACACACAGACTCACAAGGTGAGAACAATACCTGACACATGATGTCATGGCTGGTAAATAAATTGTCCCCACATTTCTTTAATAATTTGTGAGCACGACATTAATTAAAACATTCCAAGTCATTCATTCCCGCCGCCACCTTCTTTATGCACTTGTCCTTGGTTGCAGATGTCTCTGGATGGACTTTAGCTTGGGGACATGTTGACAACACTTGCAATGCGAGGGATTATTGTTCGTAAAAGGCAATTAACGAGGATATTGAAAGCTCGTGGATTATATCGTCGTAAAATATGCTGTCTTGGAGGTTGCTATCGACTTAATAGTTGGTCGATTGGACGGCCCTGGGGATCTTCATGGCTACCGCCTGTGGATGTACTTGAAGCAGGTGCACTATACTTAATGCCTGGGGGAGAAAGACTGGTCCGTTGTGCTGTCTTATCTTGTGCACACAAATTAATATATTGTGGCGTTGATTTACATCTTTTTTTGTCCATGGCCACTCCCAGGCTCTGTATGTCTAATATTGTTGTGTGGTTAACAGCTGTTATGGAAACACTACAGGACCTATCCATTGTCTGTGATGGATCTACCTAATGTAAAATGATCTTGGTATCTCTCTCTGTCTCTTGTTTTCTCTCTTGGTGTCTCTGTCTTGCCATGTTTTTGTTGTTGACACTTGTCTGGTTTGTCTTTCTCTCCAGCGTCTTACTCCCAGTACATATCGGACGATGGCCGATCGTCTTCAGCCACCCATCCCGGCTCCTCGGGCTCCGGGCAGACCTACACTCCCACCTTGACCCCTACCCCCGGCCCCACCCCAACTCGCACCACCACCAGCCCCAATAACAATGCTGCCACCAAAACAGGTAAGTCATACTGGCATACAAAGAAGCACTTTCTTTCACCCCCAGTTGTACGGTTGTTAAATCCGCTGTTTAACAGTCGTTTGCATTGCAGACTCGTTGCTCTTCAACAAGATCGACGAGAGACAGAGGTTAGCCCGCGAGCGCCGGGGGGAGCGTGAGAAACAGAACGGTGTGTATCCTTCAACTGTGTGTGTGTTTGTGTGTAGACTGTACATTAGTGTGCGGGAGGCTTTTAATGCATCCCTCACTTTCTTTTTTGGTCTTTCCCTGCAACATATCCTCCCTGAACTCGGTTGGTGCTGTGGTGAAGGGCCCGTTTCTCTTGGTGTTACATAAAGACGAGGCTGAAGCCAGGCACCCCCTGTTGCCATGGCATGAATGTTACATAATGGGTCAGGCCATGGTAAAGGGTTTAGGGAGGCTTGTGTTTTGAATGTGTGATTTTGTACGAGTGTGTGAGGGACATACCACGACAGATGGGTTCGAGGAAGTCGGTGGCGGTGTATGTTTTGTATTACTGAAGTGTGTTTGTGTTCATAGTGTTGTGCAGTGGGCATACCTCTGGCCCCAGCTGAGGGGCAGAGGGATTTGCTTTGTGTTGAGAGCTAAAGCCTCGTCACATGATCTACAGCTGACCCATCACACTGCTGCTATAAGCCTGTGCGTGCGTGCGTGCGTGCGTGCGTGCGTGCGTGCGTGCGTGCGTGCGTGCGTGCGTGCTTGTCCATGTTGTTTTCTTTTATTTTTTTAGCATTTCAGCAAATATGAACACACTAATGCATGTGCATCAAATCATCAACCGACTATGTGTTTGTGCGTTCCTCAGCCATCAAGGAGGCCGAGTGGCAGGCACGCGAGGAGCGGGCCAGGCTGCACTATGAGAGGCATGTGGAGGAGAGGAGGAGAAGGCTGGAGGAGCAGAGAGTAAAGGAGGACAAGAGGCGGGCTGCCGTGGAGGAGAAGCGACGGCAGAAACTGGACGAAGACCAGGTCTGACACACGTGGTCCTGTGCTTTCCGATCCGCTGCTCTTCACCTGAACACACCTGCATGCACACCTCCTCTAGAACTGCAACATACTCCTCATGGACAGGCTAATAAATATCAGATTTTAGTGAACCATTTACACACTCTATGCCCCTTCCCTCTTTAGTGTTTTGGAGTTTGAACTTCACTACCAACTCCTATCTCCTAACCGTAACTTATTTCTAGTTTTTTACTAACGCACCATAACATAGACCGTGGGGAAACATAGACTTAGTGTGTCACCCACTGTCACCCATAGATTTCTGACAGGATGTTTTGATTTGGGTTTAATTTCAGAAGTTATTGGAGCTTTAGAATACAAATAAAAGTCGTGGCTGGAGATGAGTTAAGAAGAGCACGTGAGAATCACCAAGGCTGAACTAGACAAGCTGAGGCCTTCTGTCAGTCACGCAAACATACAATAGTGTCTGTTTTTTAGACTGAAATGTTTTGGAGCCATCAATGTCTATATATGTATAATGTCACATTAAAGGAGTTGCAGGTGTCCTGTTCAGTAGTTAGTGAATCACTCTACAGTGAGTTCAGGCTTTAATTAGGTTATTGATTTAATGAACGTTGTGACACTGATGAGTCAAGAGACTATAAAATTCCCAGGACAAGTTTTAGATAAAGCGGGTGGTTTTGCTTTCGTTATGAGTCTGGTGCGCAATCACGCTTTAGATTGTATCTGCCAGGTACTTGTACAACTGGTGTGTGTGTGCCCTAAACACACTTCATGGTCGTAGGTCAAACATAACACGCCACAAGTGTCCATTCACAGCAAACATTGTTCCAGTATTTGCATGTTGGGGTGTTGTTGTTTTTTAACACTATTGTATTGTTGTTTTCGTGACTGAAGGCTCGTCATGAGGCGGTGATCCGTCGGGCGGTGGACAGGAGCCAGAGAACCAGACAGAAGCCCAACCGGTGGTCTTGGGGAGGTCCGCTGAAGACAAACACTCCCAGCACGCCCGCCGGTACTTTGACACATCACACTACACACAGTACCTGCAGGAACTCACAACACTAACGGTATCAGTGCTTGCAGGTTTATTGAATACTTTTGAGATCTCTTCTCCCTGATGCCCGACAGTGTGTCTCTTGTGTAAATATGTCTGCCTGCCTCTGCGTGTCAGTATTGTTCTGCCGTGTGTATATTTGAACTTTGCAGATCCCCTGCCCTCTGTTGTTACTGCTGACTCACACCCTGCTCTGCCCCTCCCTCCCTCTCTCTCTTTCGCTCTCTCACTCCCTTATTCTCAAACTCAACCCCTCTCTCACTCTTCACTCTCTCTCTTACCCTCGCTCTCGGGTCTCCCTCTACCTCCTCTCTGCTCTTTGTTTCTCTGCCATTGTCCTTTCCCCTCCTGGTCCAGGTTTTGTCGAGTCGGCTTTCCTCTATCCACTCGACCTTGCTGGACTGGAGCACATGCAGAGTGCTTTCAGTCTCTGCCGCAGATACGGAGTGACCTCCCAATGTGAATATTAAAGCACTGTGTCAGTTAGCCGGCCAGTGTTAGACCGCTGGCTCTAGCACCGTAACCGTACAGCACCGCTATAGCACCGGCATTAGTGCAAATGTAGGCCAATGTGAATGGCAGGATTAGTGTTTGTTGTTTTATTTGCATGTAGCGATCCAGTTTTTAACTCGATTATATCCCAAGACACAGTCATTCAAACCATTATAGCTCCATTTTTAGATTACTTAAGACCCATTTAGCACTAATTCATTTTCTAATATGTTTCCCCCTTTAGCAACATGTTGGTAGTTTATTCACATCTAACCCTAAATTTAACCAGAATAGACTAGAGTAACCCTTCAAAGAGAGATCGCTAGCTCCAGCTCTCTCTTTCTTCCCCCATTCTCTGTCCACCTGTTCAATGTCTCATCAATTTGCTTTTATCATGTTTTTCTTCGTTTCTAGATGCTGACAGGCGGTCAGTTTCCACTATGAATTTATCCAAACACATTGACCCTGTTATTACCAAGCGCCTCTCCTACTCCTCTGCTACACTCCTACACTCACCGGACCGAGGTAATGAAAATGATCTTAAACACATAAACACCAATATTATTCATTACAGTGTTCACTGCCTTTGTCTGTATCTTATGCCAATCGTGTTTGTTGTGACTCTTGTGACAGTCTAACCGCTCACTGATGTTTTCTTGTATCTATTTAATGACATTAGACAGTATGGTAACATTGAAACATACAAAAAACTTAATCATATATTAAAAAGTAGTTCAACATTTTGGGAAATACACTTTTTCTTGCTGAGAATTAGATGAAAAGATTAGTACCACTCCCATATTTGTACTGTTAACGGTTATCACAGTTACCACTACCTGACGTTCTTTACACACAAGCTTTTTTACGGCTTAAAAAATATATATAACGTTGTAATTGGTCAATTTTAGAGGCTTTGGTAGATTAATTTTGTTTTTTTTACGCTTTTTTTTTAGTTTATGCTGGGCTAATCTAACACGCAGCTGTATGTTCATATTCAATGGACAGATATGGGAGGGGTATTGATCAACTCATCTGTCATTTATTTGTTTAAGTGCTTATTTAACCCTAAGACCATGTATTCTTTGATGTGCATATGTTGCTGGCAGGCTTACAGATGAGAACAGCCTCCTCCCCTGTCATTAGCAAATCTCAGTCCAAACCCCGCCTACACCCGGGAAAGACCACCCAGCACAAAAACACAGGTGTTTTTCTGGGAACTTTTTTGCAGCTTGGTTCCTCCCTGTTATATGTTATGCACTATGTTGCCCAGCGAAAAGATCCAGATGGGCTGGAAACTGTGGAGGAAGTCCAAACAGAAAGTTGAGAAAATTGTGAATACCCTGCAAAAACAACGATAGTTCTTTTAATAGCGATATGTGTAGATCATTATAGCTTTGAACCTGGATGACAGAAGTCTGACTTTACAGAATGAGATGATGTGCAATATTTTCAATACTATCATCAACTGGCATGTACTATATATGTTGATGTGTTAGCACTTCTGTGTGTTTCATCAGAGGGATCAAGACCCCCCCCC